TTTGTTCATCAACATTTAACTAAAGCAAGTTCAGTCATGCAAATGCCCATGAGGAAGGCAGCTATTAGAATATTTATTCCAGATAAATAAATGCAGAAGACTCTGGGGAGATCCCCTTGCAGCTTTTGCATACTTTAAAGGAGCTTTTGATCAGGAGGGAGACTGGGCAGTTAGCGATAGGACAAGGGGAAAGGATTTAAACTAAAAGAAGGTAAATTTAGGTTAGATGTTAGGCAGTAATTCTTTACTCAGATGGTGATGAGGCACTAGAACAGAATGCCCAGAGAAGTTGTGGATTCCCAGCTCCTGGAACCATTCAAGGCCAGGTTGGGTGGAGCCCTGGGCAGCCTGATCTACAGGGTGGCAACTCTGCCCATGGCAGGAGGAGCTGGAAGCAGACGACCTTTCAATGTCCTTTCCAAACCAAACCATTGTATAATCCTAGGATAAAGAAAGGGTTCAAAACTGATCAAAATATTGTTAATTTTAGAGACAGAAAAAACAGCAACATGTGTTACCTACCATGTGTTATCTACCAATACGAAAGCTCTATTATTAGAGTGCTTACTCTATCTTTCACTGCAACAAATTGCCCATGGTTCTTGATGTATTTCTTCAAGTTTTAAATTAACAAACCAGCTGTAGAAGCTGTCACTGAAGAATGTTTCTGTGTATTCATTTTCAGCATGAGATAGCGTTCACCCTGTAGATTCAGCAGTCTGCATAGTTTAGGTCTTCTTGTTATTATGGGTACTGCATTCAGAATAAGCATATTTACTATAAAAAAGAGGGGCTGTTTTTTTTTGTTGTTTGTTTTTGTTTTTTGTTTTTTTTAAAACCTTTACACAGCATGTACAAATAAAGAAGCGTGTACTGCCATGAAATATTTAATCAGAGCCATAGGAAAAAGTAATTTCCTGAGATCCATGTGCATGTATTTCCAAATATATTCTGCCAACCCTTTGATAAAACTTTCATTTAAATGCCAAGTTTTCCAAGAAAGCAATTTAGGTTTTTGAATAGTGTTGCATATTTCAGGGGGAAAACCAACTTTGTATTTACTTATTAACTTACATTCTACATAGCAGGATTATATTTTTTAACTCAAAGACCTCATGCATACACCTCTGTGTATCAAAAATATTGTTGTACTCATCAACACAATGAAAAATATGCCTTCAGGATACACATATGAGTTTTCTTGTGATGTTTGTTCTTCATGACTAGTCAAGTATCCTTGCCAAAAACAGCAATCTATGCAAGTTGCTATGACAGAAATACCTCCTATTTAGTTCCATGGAAATTACAATAGACACAGTGAGTACAACAACACTGACAGAGCAAATTCTCAGCTACTAAATACTCTTTTTCAACATAGTCACCACCACTAGCTATGCATTTTTGCCAGCAATGAACAAAAGTTTGAAAGACATGCTCATAACAAGCTGCATGGCTGTCCATATCATGGCCAGTCTTTCATTTGGAACATGGCTGTTCCAAATGCTGAAACACACCACACCACTGTGTCCACATCCACATTTTGGTCTCCAGAAAACTTAGGAAAGCATCAGTGAGTGCTATTTTTTCCACATGGAAGTTTTAGTTTCACACCACTGTTCATATGCACTTCCATGTCAAATGCCATTTTTTCAGACTTCCCCTCTGCTGCCATGTGCCACATAGCTAGAAAATGTAAGGGAATGTTAGTGCAAAGATTCAGCATCTATAGCCATACCATCACCATCTGCCTCAGACATCATGGGCTAATATAATAATAATAAAGGAGGCATTACTTTCAGAGTAGCTCTCATAGCTGATGCATGTTATTAATCAACTCAGCAAATGCTGTCTTTTCTTTGTGGAACACGTATCACTGCAACAGAGCCAGCCCATTATCATCCAAGCAAGATCAGAGGATGTATATATCTATTAATCAGTGTTATAGCCCACTTTAAATCAATTCCATGTCTAGTGCCTGCACTGTAAAGTCAAGAGCATACACAACAAATAGCAAACCTAAAAGAGATGCATAAGAATTGCAACAGTAACAGTAGAAAAGAAAATAAGGTACTAAATACCTTGCAGATACAGAAAGTTTTTCCATGTGAAATTTTGCATCACCATCTATAGAATCAAATATTGATGGGGATTTTTGGCAGGAAAATAAAATCAGATTCAAGTAATCATTAAAGAATTATGTAATTTTTCTCATGCGTTTTTGGGTAAAATAAATGAACTTTTCACATATTATTTGTTTCTGACATTTCTTCATAGGAGTGTTGTATATGTTTACAAATGCACAGTCTTCAGCTACACGTGCTCCATAAAATCCAAGACATATTCTCATATTTTCCATACTCTGCTGTCATAAATATTTAGTCATTGGAAAGATGGTAACTAAGTATAGAACACACAGTAGATTGTTCTCCTCCACCGGTACCAGGAAAGATCAATGTATACTTGTGCATTTTATACTGTTGTATAAAGATAATTTTTTAAATAATTTAACATGGGTTCCTTTTATGATAAAAAAAATGCCTCTTTTTGGTGTTTGACCCAAGCAAATACAAGGAATCTTAGTTAATTTGTATAATTTTTTTGTTTAATAATTAAAAATAATTATAAATTAATTTTGTATAATTTAGTTAATTTGTATATGAATTAGAGCACAAGAAAGTGATTTACCCTCACACAATGATCTTCTTAACATCACAAATATTAATTACAAGATATTTGTCTGTGTTTCTGTGGGTGCGTACAGCTTAACATTCATATTAAATGCATGTAAGCAAATATTTTCAAAGAAAAGCAAGAGATGGAATGTAGGTAATTTGAAAAACTTTTGTTCAATAACAATTTTAAATTGTGGCTTTAAAAATAATTGAAAAAGCATAAAAACTCAAATAGAATAGAAACATACACTGTTTCAGACCCCACACTCTGAAGACAGAAGCATTGTTATTTGGAAACTACAGCAAATCTCTTTACAGAAAATGGCTGGAAGGTAAATTAATGTTGATGTCAAAACTATATATTGGGAGGGCCTCTGGCTGTTCTGATGCAGCTTAATAAGTGTCTTAGCTGCTAGGTTTTTTAATTTGTTATGTCTTCAATTCAGGAACAAAATATAAGTTCATTTCTCTGCATGTATGTATGTAAGGACAAGTAAGGGCAAGGAATAGAAAACTGAAACATTTAAAGTATTCTTCAGTTTGTATCCTTTATAGCCCAGCTACAGCAACCATACGTACGGCATTCTGTAACTATGCATGCAGATCCAGCACACACTAATAAAATAAGTACAGTTAACAAAGAGATATCCTTACTTTAACGTGAGAATAAGTTCTAAATTTCCATGTTTTTGAAATAGCTACTTATCCAGACAGCAGGCTGAGCATCCAGTCCTCTCACAATTTCCCACTTGGAAATTTATCATGTTACTGGCTTCTACCCCTGATGTCCACAGTCAGGATTTCATTTTAAAATAGTTTCTTCTTTCACAGTCCATGCAATCCCATTTCTACTTATTTTCCTTCATTTTTATTTGTGACAGAAAAAAGCAGCTTGAGAAACAAACGTTTCTCTGAAGAAATAAATCAATCTCAAATATTTTTCCTTTTTTTTTTTTTTTTTTACTTCAAGGTTTTTGTTAAGATAAAATATCCAATAATTCTCTCAAGAGCAGAAATAAAGAGACATATTTTCTGAAAAGCCAGTTCTAGCAAATATAGGAACGCAGTCACTCTGCACAAATCTTAAGTATTAATACTGATATCCCCAGAATACCATACAATTTTGCCACATAGCTGAAAGTCAGCTTTTAGAGAAATAAGACTCCCATTGACATCCATAGAGTTTTGCTTAGGGTTGTAATGCAGGTTCAGACTCTAAATCACAGTGTAGCTGTCAGACTAAGCCAGAAACACTGCCAGTGCATCATTTCTTGTTCTCTGTATTTCAAAAAACAGTGTCACCCACTCACAGTTTAACAATTTTATTTAAACAAATCTATATGTAACTGGTTGACACAACTACGTATTTCCATCTCTAGAATTAAGTAGCATTAGATGTAAATTTGATAACGTTCAAAGAGTTTCCTTAATCACTTCATTTTCTTTTGTAGATACTTTTTGTAGCTTTTCCAGCTAAAATAGAGGAAGAAGTTTTTTATTTCAAAAGTCATATACTGACATTGTCTTTAAATATCCTTATAGAGTTTAAATACTAAAAATCCCCAGGCTTCATTTCTGTTCTTTCTTCACAAAAATTCATAATTTTTTAGAACGCCCTTTGTCTTGCAAGAATAGTTGAAGAATGAAAGTACAACTAAATTAGGTACTACAAACCTAAACATTAGAGACAAAAATAAAAAATAAATGATACTGAACAACATTCATGATGACAATACTTGTGGTGTTAAGAATAAAGCATTAATACCTATACAGCAGTATACTAGCTTCTTACAGTGATATACTGGAGCAGAAATAATTTAAAAAGGACAGGCATTTGTAAGCTAGATAGAAAGAAAAAAAACTAAACAGAGGCCTCAAGAGCAGAAATGGCTCAAAAAGATGAAATAAGAACAGTCTAATAGCATGGAGATACTGAAAAAAGATCAGTTCTGAGCTGAAGACAGTTGAAGAAGCAAGATGGAGAATAGCTCATCTTTACAGTGAGAAGGAAAGAGGGAATAAAATCTCGGTGAAATAATAACAGGAAAAAGTAAGTCTGGGGCTTCTCTGTAAACTAGTTTTTAATTATTTTTATGCAGACTGAAGCTGCAGTCTATTGCAAATGAGAGGCCTCTTTGGAAGGACTGGCTTTGAATGTACTGATGCAGAAGTGTCTGATACTATGGAAATAAGTAAGCATTTGATTAATATTCTTAAAAGTGTTGCTTTTAGCTGCTTATCTGTGTGAAATGTGAACACTCAGACAAAAGCAATGTCTGCTATGAAAAAAAAAAAAAAAGAGGGAAAGAGGAAAAAAAATAGTGTTACCTTTTTAAGTCTTGTTTAGCTCAAAATAGACTTCTCAGCAATTCTTTGTTAGAATCAGGTATCATCCATAAAATAATTCTCTGGAATAAAGGATATGTTTGTTCATACAAAATAAAATAAATATGCTGCAGTATTTGTTTACAATGTCTTCTACTAAATTTGGTATACAAATGAGTTAGAAGAGTTTGCAGCTCTTAAGTTAATGTAGGTTAATGAATTAATCAGGATAGTTCACCAGATCTTAATTACATAGGCTTAAATATCAAGTTTTAAAATGGGAAAATTAGATGCTTTCATAAATTAATAATTTTGTGAATTTTGTCTGCCTGTGAACAAGACAAATAGGATTTTTTCAAATAACTTAGTTTAAAAGCTACAGTTTAAATTCTCCTTAGACATCTTTAATAGCATGACCTATTTATGAATAATTGCTGTTGACACAGGATTTACACATGTCCTTACACTGTGTTATTTTCTCAAATGCAAACAAGACGCCTGCTGAGTATTAGCTACAGGAAGAATGTTAAATATGAATCAGTAAGTAATTACCCCTGGAACTTAATTCATCTTTAAAACAGTATTTTATGGTATTTTTTTTTCTCTATGTGAGGAAAAAGGACATTGTTATACAGAAAGAAGAAAAACACTCCCTTTCAAAACACAAGGATAATTTCAACACCATAATGACAGATCAAGATAGGTTTTTCTGATACAATTTGCATTGAACAAGCATGTCTGTATGACTTTAAAGAGTTTTCTATCTTTGATGTAATCTGCAACTCTATATAATCTCAACACAAGTCTTGGCGTGTTGAAGTACTTGTGATTGTTAATATTACAGCATGAGTTTAATTTCTTTCAAAAACTAGATTTAGTCCAGTCACATTTCAAGATAATGTTCAAAGCAAAATAAGGACAGACCCAATGGCATGTACTTGGAGACAGAAAACATGGACAGATTTAAAGGAAGAAAACAGAATAACTGGTTGACCAAGAAAAGCGAAATTATTTGCTGTGAAGTCTATATGGAAAAGGAGGCAAGTAGCTGCATAAGAAAATAATTTAAAACTTCAGGACTCTAAGAACATGCAAAATTAATTATGGTCTTAGCACTTCTGCAAGACTTGGACCTCCATCCGTACTCTGCTCTCACTTGGTCTTGCCTAGAGAGTGAAAACTGGGCTACAAATTGCAGCCCTTCAGGAAAGTTTTCTGACTTAATTCTCCAGACGTCTGGAAACTATTATAAATAGAAGGCAACCATTATCCCAGTAGTACTCTGGCATTTTAGGAATATAAACCCACCTCCTACAGAGTTTGCAGGGTCTCTGTCCTATTTGGAGGTGTTGGATTTTTCTAAAGAATTTACTAGATGCAATTTTGAGCTGAAAGACATTTTCTGGATCTTATTTTGGCTGCTTAGATGATAGCTAGAATTGAAGAGAATTGAAGAGTTATACAGGATCACAAAAATTAACTAAGTTACATTCAAACATGCTTGTCTTGATCAAGGAGCAAGATTACTAAGTCTTTCACCAGTAGGTATTCAAATAAAGTCGATTTATTAACAGCACTTTTTTGGATAAAAATGGTGCTTTCGTCTAGGCAGACCCTGTGGTGAGGCAAGTGTGGTTAATGTAATGACAATTGTCCCACTACTGGCATAATTAAAAGTTGTGCTAAATGAAAACCTCTTATCAGTGAAATGCAGCTAATATCAACGTTGAATTTAATTTGATCTACAATTAGGAAAATTGTTATCTGGTCATTTTGATCAGCTATAAATATATATTTTTTCTTTTCTTTTGCTGCTTGAGTGGAAAAAAGGACCCTATTTTTCTAAATGAAGTGTTTAGCAAGACTTTTGCTCCAGAAGCAGGTTTTTTTTTTTTTTCTGAACAGTTTATGGTCAGATACAATAGCTTTTACTGCTAAGCTTTTAATTACACCACTGGCGTAGTTTTTCATCAGGCAACTTTTTAAAATGAAGTCAAACAATAGCTAGGAACAACAGCTAGGAATGACATTAAGCCAGAAAAGCGTAGTTTTTGGTACTAGGAGCTATGCTGGCTATCCTATTTGTGTAGTTCTTTACTTGGGTACTAAATCTAACTGGAAACACATTGGAATGCTGAAATCAGTCTTTCTGAGATATGAACTGAATCTGCACTGATGTTTGGAGGTCAGATGTTTCTTGGAGATATAATGCCACCAGTTCTGCACACACCTTCCCTCTACCAAAAAAAAAAAAAATATATATATATATATATATATATCTCCCAAATAAGTTAAATCAAACCTTAAATTTTCTAAATAAATAAATCCTAAAGGTATAGATATTCTAAGAAAGGCAACCATGCACTTAAATTATAGAAGACTCAGGTCCCAGTTAAGTGTTAGGAGTGATGGACAAAGATCAAAAGTAACACTCCACATTTCATGTTCTTGCTTAAAAAATATGCCAAGAATTTATCCTGCATCATTTTCTACTTTTCACTTTCTTTCATTGCAGATGAACTGTAGGCAATGCACAGTATGTGATTCTTATTCCTACAAACATTCATAGCTAACTCATTGAATCATGTCAGTGTTTGTTGTGAGATACAGAAAAAATGAGCCTGTCTTGGTTGCTCTTATCTCTGAAGATAACCTCTATTAACATTTTTATCTGAAAGTTCCTTTGGGGATATACATGAATTAACTAAAGACAGTGGGATAAGCTTGCTACAGACCAAATATTCTGCTTTGCAGAAGTTAAATTTTACAAATATCATCTGCCAGCTTTAAGGGCTTAATCCTAAATATCAGAGGTGCCAAGCATGGCTTGTATAAGCACAAGATTAAAAAAAAAAAAAGATGAGCTGCAAAAGGGGCACAGCAAAGCTTGCCACTGCATTAGCAGGAAAGCTCTGCTACATAAATGTCAGCTTGCTCCCATTCGCTGCCAGATGTTAAGGCTAAAGACAAGAGAGCATTTAGTCCTTGCTGACAGTTCAGGATGACACTTGAGAGCGATCAAAGTGCCTGGAGAAAGGTGGGCTCATCTCCCCTCTGCGAGGCAGATGAGCCAAGAAGTCTGAATAGCTTTGACAGTAACAAACCAGTACTTTGCTCCTCGTCCACCTGTGAAAACAGTGCTGCTGATGCTCTCATCTCCCCTCTTGACTGCATACAGCACAGGGACCAAAATGACTCTCTATCTTATAATCCCTAATTTTTTTCCCCACACAGAGACATTTATACAGCACAGTTCCTGTATTTCAGCACTCTCGCGTTTGCATTAAATCTGGCATGCTGTGTATCTGTTTAGCATTAAGCATGAATGCCTTCCTTTTAAAGGAATTTCTCTTTACTTTGTATGCTTTTTTTTCAAAGAGCTCTCAAAAGCCCTAGACCAAACAGCCATTTTTAATTTTAATGAATAAGGTATCTCAAATGAGGGGATCCCAAGGCCCCCTGGCTGCTTTTGAATTCTGCATGAAAAGGAGAACTTGAACTCTGCTCACAAAGCACTGTGTCCACTGGATAGTTGTTTTGAAGAAAAAAATCCTGCAGATATCACGAGGAAAACAATTCTGCAAAAATTCCAGATTGCTGGCACATAATTTGCAATATTAAGCATTGTCATTTCCTTGCCATTACTCTTCAACTGTCATTTTAGTATAAAAATTTAAGTATTTGATCTCTACAAGATATTGAGCATTATAGAAACATTCAAACCTAATTACAAAGTGACTTAAATTTTAAAATCTTAATCTCTGTTTGAAACCTTCCATTTGGAATTGTTTTCATATCTTTTTATTCAGTGTTCTGAAATAGAAAATAACTGTGAAATAGAACAAAAATTAAGAACTCTCACAAATTAATTTGCTAATCACAAAACATTCGTAATTCAAGTTAATATAAAGCAGCATAAAACAAAACGGATGGAATATGGCTTTTCTCAAGCCACAGTTTTTCTTTCATTCTTTTTTCTTAAGTTTTTCTCAGAGTCTTTTCAACAGCAAAGATAGACATATGCACTAAAAAAAAAAAAAAAAACAAACCACGTGATATCTGCCTAAGCTCAGAGGATGTAGAAAAATCTGTGATCAAGTCTTGCTGTCTGAAACTGTTGCTGTAGCATTAAAACTTGTCTTACACAACGTACGTGAATATCAACACAGACAAGGTTTGTTCTCATACTGTATTCACAGTTTCTTTTCTGTGAAAATCTGAACTATAATTTTCACCTTAGAGCAGAGAAAAATTGTGCCTTGATGGTATTTTGAAATTTACAGATTCCTTACAAATACATAAAATGTGACTTTTATTAATTTTAAGCATCATCTTCACAATTTCTTAATAATTATGAGCTTTAAAGAAATTAATACTTTAGCAAAAAAGAGAAAAGCTGCCAAAGGAGACAGGCACACTAAAAGTCTGTTTACAATTTTTACAATATTTACATTTACAATATTTACATTTTATATTTATAGCAAGCATTAAATTTAATTTAGGAAAATGTGCAAGTTTTATTTCAATGTATTTTAAAAACAAATGTGATCTTACTTTAGAAAAGAATGTTTATTCCCAAAATACAGTGAGAAAAAAAGAGGATAAAATGTATAATTCAGATCTGACAGATGTAAAATTAGCATTGGTGTTTTTTTCTGATACTGTTATTCTCTATTCTGTATTCTTGCTTTTATCAGGCCTGAAACATTTCTGTTTCCAATTTCCCTAAGAGGAAAATCTTGTTTTCCTCTATATAATTAAAATGAAGCAGGAGAGCAGTGGATGTGGTATAAGAAATAGCTATGTGTCTCAACAAATAGTTAAGATCTTGGTGGATGTTCTGCACACATTTATGCAGGCTTAAACAGCAAAAAGAAAAAGAGAGGAGACAGAGATACCAATGAATTTAGAGAGATAAAAGGAAAGAATTAAATTCAAGGTGGCAAAAAAAAAATAGTGCAGAATAATAGGAAGGATAAGCATAAGCTAAGTTATAAGAAGAAATGAGAATCATGTTTTCACCCTCAGGGAGGAAATTCTAATTTCTCTGAAACCATCACAGGACTAAAGACTTCCATCAAGGCTACGTATAGGACCAAACTATCTTTCCCTTTCAGGCTAAATATAACATGAAGTTTGCATATTGAATATAAACACTAACTCGAGACAGACCGTGCCACCAGAGAAACCTGAAGGTAGTCAGTGGAGTGTATCCACCAGTGAACAATGCTCCTGGAGCAAGGAATCATTAGTCATCTGTGTAAGTGCCTCCCTGCAGCCTGTGAAAATCAGGACTGCCATTACCCAGCATTGCAAGAGGCTCTGAAGTCATTCATCACGAATCAGCAAAACAGGATAAGGTCTTCAACAGAATCACCAGAAATCATAACACTGTGTGATGAATCTTGAAAACAGCAGTTAAGCTATTTTACATCACATCAGATAGCATAAGGGAAATGGAAGGATACATCTCATAAAGTAACCAAAAAAACCTGCATCACAGTATTAAATAAGAATCTGAGATAGCATGATTATTTTTAAAGACTCATCTATGCCCATCCTTTGTTGTTTTTTCCCTGGCTAAACTATTACAATGGCAGCAAACAGGAAAACAAAAACAAACAAAACTGAGATCACAATAATATACAGTATTTCACCATGAGAACCATGTGTGAAGCACTGCCAGGACTTTGCTACTACAAAATCCATGTAGGAATGACACCTCAGTTTCAGGGAAGTTTGGAATTCAGAGATGTCTGCTCAAACTACACATGCTTGAAAAAGGATTTTTTTGAGCAAACTCATGTCACTAGCGTGAATTTCCAGAGGCTGAAAGGCTTGCTTATTTTACATTTATCTTTTGAATGGTGACGATTATGAGTCTACCAACTAGCCGGATTTTTTCAATTTATTTTTTTTAAAGCAGATATTGAACATATAGCTCCTTATTATTTGAGTTTTCTTCGTTCAACTCTTAAATAACAACACTAGAGTGCTTAAAATATCTGAAAAAATAACATATGAAATATCTAGTGTGAATGCTGAATAATTCATGGAAAATCTGAAAGATAACAGCTGGAAGGATGCTAAATTTAATCTGTCAACAGATCTGTCTATGACAGAAGGGGTAAACAGGCTTCCTGAGTGCATCTTTTGGGATTTGCCAGTTTTGATACAGCTATGACTGGAAGGCTCAGTAAGGACCAAAGGCAAATTAAAGCCCACCTCAACAACCTCTGCAGCACAAGAACAAAACTCCACGTGGGGTATCAGTTACGAGCCCAGAAACTCAAAAGGACAAGTCTCATCTGAACATCCTGCAGCAGCCCCACTGTGCTCCCATGACATGCCTGCAACTGGCTGCAACAGAGCATTTATTTCTGCCACATCACAGCATTCAGTCTGAAACAGCAAGTGCCCTGTTAATTTGAGTCTCCAGCTTAATGATAAATAGCAGTGCTCTTTTCATGTGTAAATATGAAAATAGGGGAGAAAACTACATGAGAAAGGGATTTCCCATGTTCTACTTTACTGTAACATTCAGGAGTTATTTTTACATACACAGAAGAAGTCCCATACTGTCAGAGTCCTCATGTGCAATAGGGTAGTAAAAAGATTAAAAACCGTATTGGCTAATTGTAATCCCTTTCTAGAACAGTACAGGAACCTTCCTGCATGATGTTTTCATACTGAGAGGATAGGAATACTGATCAGATGAAATACTCTTTCCCAGTAGGTGGTTCAGAAGTAGCCATTGGCATTCAAGAAAAGAAAGTTGCAGCCAAGCAAGAGATCAAATTTGCAGCTCACTTGTAACCCTGCAACACGGTCCTGTCCACAGCCTGCCCAGCAGCAGCTATTCTACCCTGTAGCTCAGCTCAGGTTTCACATTTGGCAGAACAGTCTTACTGATGGGTGAAAACAGCAGATAACCAGCTCCCAATTTCTGCGTGCTGCAGATCAAAGGGGTGGAGCCACCTACCAGAGCATCTGTGAAGCACAGTAGCACTGTAATCCGTTTTCTCAAGCGACTGAGCAAAAGAAACCCTTACTTTTGGTAAACCTGAGTACAAGAGTCATTATCTCTGGTCTGAGCCACAGAAACGCCATTTCCACTTGAACAAACTTTATTGCAGAATCTATTGTTTGCATTACACTTTTTCAGACTGGTTTTCTCTTTCTTTATAAAATGTGATATTTTGTAGAAATTCAGTCTTCTCCTCTCCCACAATATCTTTCTGATCTACCTCTAGACAGTTATATGTTCTGCATAGAACAACATTGTTAAATTACTGCCAAATACACTCTTTTTGGTGTGCACAGTTACCTTAATTTTTTCATCTTACAAGGAAGAGGATTTTTAGAGAATGGTCTAGCAGGAACAGATTTACATTTACATTTCCGCCAGTTATATTCATGTGAACTTTAATATTTGAAAGCTATTTTCTCAAGAGCAATCTGTTTATGCAAAAAAAAACAAACCAAAACAAACAAACCTAACAAGAAAGGTGTGCTACAGAATGTTGCTGCTTTTTTTTTTTTTTTTTTAAATATGGATTTTTAAGATACTGTATGTCACATCTGATTCTTAGAAAATTACTCATAGTGCAGATTTCTTAAGCACTTCCATATACCACCCCTCCAGTGATGGCACACATCTCAAAGGAGTGTTTTCCATCCTCAGTTGCTAGTCCTTCCTGTAGGCAATGTTTATATAACAGTAATTTCATTGTTATAAAAAAAATAATTTTACCAAAAGCAATTTTAAGCTTCATTCCTGCAAAAAAAGAAATAATTACTTCTATATTGCTTTTAAAAATTCAATCTGTTTGTAAGTGGAAAGGAGGTAGAAAATAAATAGATTCTTCGAAGCGTTGATTTCTTTGGAGAAATTGCCAGTAATTATAAAGTGGAATGACTGCATCAAGTGTCAGGTTTTGATAGCAAGAGAAAAAAAAAAGTCAGGAAACAGAGCAGGGTATGTGAAGTAGTATGTGTCCGCTATGCACTTGTTTGTTGTTAATGTTCTCAAAAACATGCCCAACTCCATCACCCCAGAGCTATATATATATATATATTTTTTTTTTTTTTAAAGCAGCCTGCTTAAAAACATTTAGCAAATACAGGTAAGAAATACCATGGGACTTTACAATTGGTATGGCTTCAGCTATGGCACATCCTGTGCACTGCGTGTTGTAGTTTACTGGTGCATCTTCTGAAAGACATTTGCTCTAACAAATGTTTTATTTGTGGATAGTAAGTAATACATGACAGTACGCATTTGACTGATAGAAAAGTGCACTTCAGGTAGGTAAAGTTCCTAATTTCTGTCACATTATCTGTCAAATGTATAAATAAATCAATTAATCTTCATATGATTATCTGTTTCACTTTGCTTTTTTGAAAGGTGAAAGAAATTACATAGATTATTCAGTAATCGTGAAGGTGTTAAACTGACAAGAACAAGGAATAAAGCGTTCTGTTTATTCCTGTGGTGTTCTCATAGCACTTTTTTAGAGAATCTTGATATCCCTTATCAACACAATTAATTATACTGTTAACACCCATCTTAAATGAGTCTCTAGTTTATGAATTACTTCAGTACTAAGCTTCTACCACTCAATTAAACTTCTTGACAATTGAATTTTAAAGAAATTAAATGCACTGGGTTAACAAAGCAAGGAAAAAGATGAAAAAGCAGTAAGTGAAAACAAGTGTTAGTAACAAAAATTTTTAGTAAATCATTTAAAAACATTCAGCTAAGAGCCCAGTCACTGTAACATGGCATCTTTCTGGTAACAGAGAAGACCTTTATAATCATTCACAGAGTTTTTTTATTTTTCTTTCACTAAAAGATATTATACATTATCTTCACACAAAAGTTAATGGAACTCATAGACAATGCAACGCTCACATAAAAACGATCCCCCTGGTATTAGCCCACTGATCAGCTGACTACTTTGTCTCCATCATAAAATTCGTTAAGGTTGGAAAAAGACCACTAGGATCATCTAGTCCTACCATCAATCCATCGCCATCATGCCTGCTAAAACATCTTAATAATGATACTCAAAAACAAAGGTCTATGCCAATAGTACAATTTCACTGCCTGCATCTTGTCTAGTCTATTGATGTTAAACAAGTGCCCTTTGTAAGATGAACCTTACAGCTGTTTCTTATTTCATTATAATAGATATGCAAGAAAATCACAGAATCAGTAAGGCTGGAAAGAGTATTAAGACTATCTAGTCCAACCATCAACTTATCACCACCAGACCACTAAACCGTATCATTCAGTGCAATATCTACCCGTTTCTTCAAAACCTCCAGGGACAGGCACATCACACCTCCCTGGGCAGCCTGCTCTAAAATTTACTACTCTGTCTGAGAAGAAATTTTTCCTAATATCCAACCTAAATAAAATATAAATATATAAAATATATATAAAGAAAATAAATATAAACTACCTGTAAGTCAGTATTCCTGATTCATGCACAAGTTGCCTAGTGAGGTTATGAATGCCTGCACCCTAGAAACATTCAAGACCAGACTAGATGGGACTCTGAGCAACTGGGTGTAGAGGGAGGTGTCCCTGCCCATACTGCAGTGGGGGAAATAAGGCTGGAATTAGATAATCTTAAAGGTTCTTTCCAACCTAAACCATTCCATAATTCTATGCCCAAGCAATTTACCAACCCACAAATACACCAATTAACCGAAGCAGAAGGTCAGATCTGATGCTGCAAGGGTTGAAACAGTAAGGTTTGCTAAGTCATACCTAGAAGTGAGGTCAGAAGCAGCTGTTAGCAATGAAGACCAAATAGGTTTGATTGGCAGTCCACCTCTAATGCTTCTGGATTAAGCAGACACACCCAATACCAGCTCAAGGATTGATAGGTATAGGATGGAAATGCATAGTTGTGTGATTTTCTTTCCAGGTGGTCTCTTTTTGTTGATAACTCCTAGTACCAAGAGAGAGCTAGGAAAAGCTTTCTGCTTTTGATGAGCCTGTTCTGGGTGGAATTTTCAAGATAATGGTTCCTTGCAACCTCCCTTATATTCTTTCAAGAACAAATCATTTACTCCTGTAACCCAGACGAGGATTAACAGCAATCTTTTATTCTCTTTCCTGATGATTCAAAATTGAGTTTTTAATTTTTTGTGTGTGCATGTGTGTCAAATCATTTTAAATCTAAAAAGAGTCCATAATAATATAAGATTTTCATCACATGGAAATTGAGAGAGAGAAGTAGAAGAAAAGAAAAGGGGAAGGAAAGCAAGCATGACCACCACAAAGCTTAAAAGTGAATATAATTCTTTTCATTTTCTCCATATGAGAAAACACACTTTTCTCAGACTTCCTGTTTCCAGAATGCTCTCAGAGACATCTGTCTTCAGTCATCCATCTCAGCTGTAAGATTCTTTAAGTCATTATTGGACAATCTTCCACATTCACAGAAAATATCAGGGTGAAGTTTGTTACTTAGTTTTAAAATTAGTTATTCAAAATGCATTGCCTTTTGTATCAGATGGAAAAATTCCAGGGACAAATTATCAAGATACATTAATCAATTCATCCTTTAAATAAACTTATACTGTATCTGTGGAAATCTCATAGTTAAAAGCTACCAACAAAAACTAATTAAGAATTGTTTGAAGTCATTTTGTAGAGTCACTTTCCCACGTCAATTCCAAGTTATTCAAATCCTAAAGTTCTAAGTTAATTATATGCTTCCAAATACTGGGAGAAATGTAAGTACTTACAAATTATCAACTGATATGTTAATCAACACAGTACATTTCATCTCACTGATTCCGTAACCAGCACTTTTATTGTTTATAAACCTCAAAGCACGTGTTGCTCATTTGAAGTTTAACAGATTCTTTTGAAAAGTTCAGCCAGGGTAAGATAGCCACTAAAAAATTAATTCTTTTTTTTTTGTTCAATTGAGATTGCCTACTTTACATTTAGCTGACTATATCCTATTTATACTGCTTGTTGTGAATATAATTCCATTCACTAAATCTGTCCAGGACATAGAATATTTTCAATCTTTTGTTATCTTTTTTGAAGTTAAAAGTATTCTTTTCCCCTTAGATGGATGGACAGTTCTCTTAGGACATATGTCCAGTTTATGGGAATGTGAAAGGGCAATCTCCAATAGAGCTATAGTTCTAGTATCTTTTTAAAGATTTCTGAGTTTCTGCATGTGTCACCTTTCATGTGGCTCCATTTTCACATACTAAAGTGATAAAAATGACAAGTGAATAGAGATAACCTAGAAAGCACGTACAAGTCAAAGTAGAGTTACAGTGAGTAAGCCAGAAATTCAAATGAAATATCTTAAAAATACCATTTCCTGTACAGAACCCACTTTTTTCTTACTGCCAGATTTACTGAGAGTGAATCTGCACAGCAACTGGTCCCGAAAATGAAAACTCATGCTGTTGTTTCAACTGACCTTTCCATAGAACTCAGTATTTCTGTACTTCAGAAATTCCCATTTGTACAGTTGAATAAACTCAGACTTTTGTTAATGAGCTACAGAAAATTAGAAAGGAAAGAGACAAGTGCAATCTCATTTCCTTCGAAGTTTATTTCCATTGCCTTTTGGCCTATCTTCAACTACTGTGCTAAGCAATGCCTTAGTTCAGCAGGGATTTCTAGAGCCATTTACCCAGATAACAATGTGTAATGTGTGTCTAACATACAATTAAAATTAAGGTTGCCTGAAATTAAGCTGAGGTAGCCTAGCTAAACAATGAATTAATTACATTTTTTTGTGAGTGTACACCAAGGCCATAAAGACAGTGGCATCTTGTTACAATACAGCTTGTTTTTACTTTGCAAGCATTCTACTGTTCTGCTTTTCAAGCATCATAACCTAAATTGATTTACAAGGCAAAAAATACTGGCATTTGGGATCTGTCATTTATATATGCATTTTGAGGAAGTTTTGCTTTGGACTTACATTAGTCTGCTGACGGGGACTAAGTGCCTGCTGGAATGCATCTGGAATCCTTCTGCAGTACATTTTCTAACTTAGTTTCATTGAAAAGGAATCCAATTTTTAAAAATGTCTTTATTTTTGATTCTCCATTGCCCATGATTTTTGTTCTTCAAAGAGGAATTTATACCAGTTAATGCATTTGTGCTATGTATAACTTGTGTAACTGCCTACTTCATATCTGCACTCAGATCCTAATGTGAAAGCATTCTTAGCTATGATCGCCCATGCCAGCACAGTGCCTGGAGGGAAACTTCTCTGCAGTTTCAAGAGCAACATGATTAAAGGAAAGCTGGATTCCTCTGCCTTTGAAATCCCATTCACAAGTAATAAAAATTACTTCTCTGTCTACTGACAGGCATGCTGAAGAACATCAGATTATTATTTAACTTCATTTTTTAAAGATTTCTCCATGCAATATAAAAGAAATAATAATAAAATAGTGGGACTGTATGCCATGATGTACAGTTCTAAGACATCAGTAAAATGCCCCCACCTTTTATTTATAGCAACAAAAGGCTGGAATCATAATGTCATATCACTTTTGGAAAAGCTTTTGACAGTAGGAATCCATAATGTTGACCCCATTCTCAAGATATCTTACTTTCCTTTGATGAAATCTGAAGAAAATTGTTTCATTTTTTTATTCCTCCAGAAAAAAAAAAAAAAAAAAAAATTACAGTTCAGCTTCAAGTATAAAATTTACATGAACTAGATAAATTTTACGATGATCTAGGTGTAACTTATCACAGTATCACAGTTATCACAGTACTGAGTACAGTACTTTGAAGAGATTGAAACAAATTTAAATCTCTACAAGCATCCCTTATTGCAACCGCAACAAATCCCCATATGGAGACTAAAATACACAGGTATTATGGGAGAATAAATGATTTAAGTTGAAAACTTTTTTCTGAAAGCCAGTAAAAGTTCACATATTGATCATAAGGACCTAATATTGCCATGTCATATTCATAACTGAACATAAGATATGTGTGGCATCTCACTTGATCTCTAGTCTTTTTTGAAGCAAATTAGAGGATTTCAGATTCATCTCTTTGGAATTTGCAGGATTTTGCAAAGATCTTTTGCTGTTACAGTTACCCTTTTGTAGTAAGCTTCTTGGTGGGGAGAGCCATACTATCTTTCTGAAATGCTTTCTGAGCCATACTATCTTTCTGAAATGCTTTCTGAAATGCTTCATAACTTTGGCACATCACAACCACATCAGCTCAAGCAGGAAAGGAGCGTATCAGCCCCAGTTTTTGATTGGTTTGAATTGTTCTGTAAATTCCCAGACAGGGAAACAGCATTGTCTAAGGTAATGTAAGCAGATTTATCACTCTTTTCTGAGCATCTTTTGTTTTGATCACACTGACCCTAGCTCTGGCACGAATTTGTGCAGCTGCTTGGTGAACTAGCTTGGCAAACTGAGCCAGCAGGAAAAGAATCAGAAGGAGCAAAAAGAGCTGAATGATTTTTTAACTTTATCCACTGGTCCAGGAGGCTTATGAGAGACACTGATCACATTTAAATAGAAAACAATTCCCACTAAAAGGCAATGAAATAAAGCTTCAAAAAGTAGAGTTATTTTCCTCATTAGAAATGAGAAAGCGTTTTGAGGAATACTATGGCAATTTATGTCACAAATCACTCCAAATTCTGGGTTTCATGCTTTTTCCTAAAAGAAAAGAAATCCTTTTAAGATGATCGATTTACAAGAACAATAGAAAACGTTGGTCTCCATAGAAAATAAAAGCATCTGTTACCTAATAAAAATTACAGTCTCACAGGTTTTTGTTTTTAAAGCTTAGTATGTATTCAGTCAGGACTTGTTGTATCTGAAGTGTTTTTATATGTAACCAAGAAGGTGTGGATTCTACAGTTTTGTGGTTAGGTTTAAACACAAGCATGACCCTCTGAAGAAATTCAATACAGTCATAGGAAATACCATTCCCCTTATTTGACTGTAGGCAGAAAAAGTATGTATTTTCTACAGGATTGTTTTCAATTAATACAGTACCTCCAGTTAGTTCACCACGTATTTATACTGTCCCAAAGCAGGAGCAGAATAATGTGCCTAGGGAACTGAATAAAACAGCTCAGTTATTTTGAGCATTTTTCACACATACCAAAGTATACTTATTAAAGGAAAGGAGGTGACCTTTTTGAAGCTGTAGGTCAACCACTGAAATGCAATAAAAATCCAGAAGGAAACATGTTGATTTTAAAAAAATGACAATATTTAATTAAAATTGATAAGTAAGTAGAATAGTGCGTGTTTTGAAACAACTGAAAATAAATACAGGAGATCTTTAAGATGCTAAAGAATTATAGGTTCCGGTTCCTTATGAAAGCTCAGAGAAAGTAAAAAAACGTCATTTGCCTCTGCGTAATTCCACACAAGAAGAGTTGATTTATGTTCAGCTCTTCCTCACTTCTTCTCTTTGCTAAAAGTCAAATACCCCTAGCAACCATTTAAAAAACATACCAGCCTCTCATATTGTCAAAGCACTTGACTCTGATAACTTAAAAGTCATCTTCTGTCTTCCCTGCTGCAAATGCAGTTGGATTCATTGTTCATGTACTCACAAAGGGTGAGCATAGCTGTTGTGCACACACGTACAACTAATAGTCAAACACTTATTGAACTAATTATACTTTCATTATTTGTGATTTTCTTTTACTTACTTGGTTCTACTGAAACATCTCTTGATGTTTTTATTACAACAAGGTTTATAGTACTCTCTGAAGAGAGAGTTTATCTACACTGTTCTCATTGAATAACCCGTACCACAATAATTGCCAGTTAA